TGCTAAAATCCGTAATAGCTACGACGTCGGTTTCTTGGAAGGAGAAATCGCGCTCCAATCGAACAACTTACGCAGCTGGCGGGATCGAGTAGGACTCGTAGAAATCGATAGTGAACAAAGGCTAAGCCGCTGCCGATGTCCATTTGCCACCTTTTTGCCGGGCGGCGGGAAAGTAAGCAGATTTACTGATTTTTTTTAAGTTTCACCTGAGAAACTGGTGGTTGGCAGGGGGTAAGTGGCATATACAGGCGATATAGGGCTTTCTGAAAAGTGAAACGACTGAAATCGCGATGAGCCAACCAGTCAGATATAACGAGAGGAACCGAGCATCGGATATAGCAGCTAATAGCACAGAGTGCGCCAAAAGTCTGAGAGCCTTCTTTGCACTACTGTTATTACAAAGCCACTGAAGCTTTTGAGCTCACATCAGTCTTATACCACATGATGCGCAATCATCCTCCACAAAATATACTTCTCGTCACTCAAAATGCCCGCCGTATGTATTTTTTGTAAGAAAAATGGAATCATCTGCTTTTGCCTTAGCCTTACTTTCGCGGAGCGAAACAAAACAAATTTTCTGATATTCACATTCAATTCCATAGCTGAGCATATTCCACAACATTCAATGCATACAATGTTGAAGAGATTTTGCGTTAACGCATGGCTATAGTTGCGTTTTCTAGGAGCTATCAAATCGAAATCGAAAAATAAAAATTTACGATCACCTGCGTCCTTGAAACGAATTAGGAAGTTATAGAAGCGCAGCAGTCAATGCATTCAAAGCTGTACTCTCCATGTCTTCTGTATTAGGTTGCTGCATAAGTTCTGTCGGATTTTTTTGCCTTATGTTCGAAGCATCTGTTCCAAGAGAATTTCATCTCTAATGCGGTATTGTTAGTATCGTTAAAAAACGCTTTTCTTGCGCTTTCTAAAGCATGTCAAATTTCAATAAACTTCTAAGGCCCCGGACAGACTTCACGCGATTTGATCGTCGCGACTAAATCGCGACGAAACAACTGTTACAACATCATTCCATGCCGATCAACTTGCATTTCGGTTGTGATACTTTTCCAGCCCGAAATTTTTGAATGTGAAATGAAAATGAATGGAAATCGCGGCGATCAAATTGCGTGAAGTTTGTCTGGGGCCTTAGTGTAAGGAGATTTCAGGCCTAAAATTTCCAAGTGGCCGAGGTACGTTCTCACCCTAGAAATATGTTCTTGCGAGGAAATCTCCACAATGAGCCCTTCAGGTCAACTTTTTTAACGGAATAAGGGTGTAATAGGCTAGCATACGCATAAGCTCAGTTTCATGAAGAAAACGTCTTCCTATTAAAATTTGTTGTCAAACATTAATTTTCCGTATAGACGTTTCACAAGCTATAACTTTCTGCGAATAGAAGTAATCGACGACTTCAAAGTTGGAGGTGCTAGTGTAAAGCAAGGGCTAGCAAAGAGCATCCACCAATTTCTTTTCGACGCTCAGGTCTATTGTAAAATTTTCATAATTCGTAAATAGGCATGCACACATGCGCTGAAGCGAGGTCAAAAAGTGGCTAATTCTTTGTTCGGTCAAAAAAATCTCTCGGCAACGCAGACCCTATGGGCTCTTTTATGGTGCGAAATAATCTAGAAAAATTGTCTATCTATCTATTGTTAGAGAAGATGCCTATCAATTCTCGTAAGGGAGCATTGCCATGTCAAAAAAAGATAGATTTGGAGAAAAACGCTGTGAAGTTTAAGTTCCTACTTCTTCCTTAACAAGGATTTTCGCAGATATGTATCTGATAGCCAAGGAACTGCTCAACATAAGAAAATTGAGATCCTGGAAAAAAGTTGTCTTTGAAAGAAGTTATGGCATTTTGAACTCAAAAAATTCAAATCGGACAGAACTGATGCAGCAACCTATTATAAGCATCTGCAAGGTTGATGCAAAAGTTCTGTCGCATCATCTTTGAAAAAAATGGCTTCTTGCTCTCTCAAAGGGTTTGAACAAACTCAATGAAAACCTTTCTCCTTGTGATAGTGCTCTCTAATAAGGGGACTTTTGAGATGGAGCAGAAAAATAAAATCATACATTTTACTGCGTCGTACGGGTTTGATAGATGGTATACTTATTTATTTATCCGAATTGGCCTATTTCGACAGCTTCGCCGTTCTCAGAGGCGTAAAAATGGCTGAAAGCGTTATTTGCAACACAACACCAATACCCCTCCAACTCAATTAGTTTCGCCTTCCTCTAATTTCTTTTCTCAGAAATTTCTGGCAGAAATGAACGCACCTCTAAGCCACCTCAATTCAAATGTCCGCGCCGGAAATAACAGAAGCTAGCGGACAATTGAGCTTTATAGTAGAAGACCGAAAAAGTATTCATCATCAGAGCTCGCAACGATACATACAGCAGGAAGTTGGCAGTAATGGACAAACGCTCATTTTTACTGTTCATTTCTGGGTTCTTTTCGGGGATTCATAAACCTTCTAATGCCTTAGAAGCTGAGATCTCTTGTTCAATTCGAATACTCGAATGTGCATTTTTTTCTTGCTCGAATATTCGAATAGTCGAATGGCGGAATTTGTCGAATAGATTATTTGAGTACGAATATTTGGTTAAAACTACAGGGTGGGGCAAAAGTCTGGGAGCCTAATTTGCAGTGCTGTAAACAAAAAACTACTGATGATTTTGACTCCGAATTTGTGTCTCATATTGCTGCGATCATCCTCTACAAACCACACTTTGGCTGGCTGAAAATGCTTGTTATATGTTTTCGTAGGAGTTGATTTATCAGAGAAGTGCTCTGCAAAGCAAGAAAATCGAAATTTTTGATCTTTAGAATTATTTCGTAGCTAAAGATACATACAGTGTATATTTTAGAGCGCTTCGATGCACACAATGTAGAGGAGACTTTGCGCTATCAATTCGCTGTCGTTATGTTTGTCAGAGACTATTCTTTCGAAAACGCAAAATAAAAATTTGCGAATACTACCTGCGTGCCAATGACCATTTTCCTTTGAAATAAATTTGAAAGCTATAGGAGCACACCAGGCACTGAATTCTAGGCTACATTTTTTCCATGAGTCTTCTAAGCAAGCGTGTACTTAAGTTCGATCAATCAAGCAAATTCAATACTTTTCAGCTTACGATTCTTTGCTCCTATGCGCGCAATCGCATCCAGATTTCCACTACGCATTGTACACTTGCCTTCAATTAGAATCCCAAATTTTTTTCCTAAACACTGCAAAAAAGATTTCCTTGCAGTACTTTGTAGCTAAAAGCTTGCTCTATCACACCGCACATTTGCCTGGTGAAAGAAACAGTTACCCTAAAGGCGTGGAACGACTTTCATCATGACTGTCTGCGTGCTACGACAGGAGGACTCGCCAAGATTTCGAAGGGCTGGTTTGAAGCCAGAAAAGGCAATCTCAAAATTTGAAAGTAGCACTGTATTTGTAAAGGTTAGGTTTATGTGTGCACCAAATTTTTTGTTCCTAGGCACTTTCCTTCTGATTTGATCTGAATACTAGGCTCCCACACTTTTCCCCCACCCTGTATTAAACGGTTCTGGAACTTTATATTAGGTTGTCCCGAAAGTTTTGTCGGTTTTTTCATCGCTCACTAGAACCCACAGAAAACAAATCCATGCAGGATCTAGGTATCGATTGATTCATATTATTATCTTCTTTCTTACAGCTATATTTGCTCTCTGATCTACCCTGTCTTTGCATTGTTATCGCCATGGCTTTTTGAGCAGCGCAGTAGTAACGCCAAATTTTTCCCCAATTTTGAAAATTTTTCTTCTGCTGTTTTTGAAGAGCGTTAACAACTATTATGTAGAACAAATCTTTGGATCCATTGTGTTTATTTTATATTACATGGGCCACGTTTATCAAGTCCGTTATAATTATTTATTTAACAAAAACCGCGGCTTTTTGATTACGTCTACCACTAAAGTTGCCGAAAATTTCAAAAAGCTCTCGGTTATGTTGCATATTATTGTTTATTAGCAATCAAGTTTTAATTCCCAGAAATTTCAGAAGCTTTCATGTTTTTGCTGTTTCATGACTTTGCCAAAAATCGAGACCTCCGAAGAGATTTTTTTGAAGCTAAAAACAGCAGGTTGGGAGAATCTAAAAATACCATCTTGTAGTCCGAGAATTGCTTCATCTGTTCCATACTTAAACGTTTCCGAAACATTGAAATGAAATTTTTGAAAATTAGCTCAACTTTGAGCACATAAAAATGACGGGTGAAGAATTGTAACAATTATCATAAGAAGCATACAAGACTGTTGCACGAAAATGTAACCATAAGAAAGAGAAGGAAGAGCTGCATCGAATGCATCTTAATACTTATTCAGGTCTTTGTTGCGCATAGTTTTATAGCGTTTTGAAAAAACCGACAAAACTTTTGGGACAACCTAATATACCACAACTTTTGACACGCTGGAAACTCCACCAAAAAATGATAATTTTTCTGTAAAAGCTAACTCTTGTTTTCTTGCGTAGTCAGTTCTCTAGATTAATCTTTAGGATAAGTTTGATGAAACTGTTTGAAAAAATTTGTAAGTCTCATTGTAAGAGTTCTTGTTTTGACGAAGTGCCTAAAGATCACTAGCATGGAGTAGATACACGCGATGTATGGTATAGGCGAGTTTGACAGATTTCAATAAATTATCTAGTGATATATAATAAGCAAACAAACAAAAAAAAACGACGCGTCCGGGAGAGTGTGAAAAATTAGGACTGGGCGACATCCGTCAGGATTGATGATGAATGATATGAAGAATATGGCCATCCATCATTATGAAAACTGTCATCGTAGCGTGGTCTTTAGGTACTTCAAAAGCTAATCAAGAAGAGATCCTCGTCTAGAGGCAACATTTGTGGTGATGAACGTCTCACAGCTTCGTGCTCATTTCTTAACGATAGGCATGCAACTCCCACTTTCTTTAAATTTTGTCTCCAACGGTCATTTCTAGCTTCAAGATATATTGAGATTTTTGCAGATCGAAAGGTGAACAACCTATACCATAACGAAAGCGAAGTTAACAGCTTACACCACTGAGAACAGCCAATGGTTGCATGGCCTCGTTACGGCCGCTACTCGTGTTAGTATTTATTCTTCAAGGTCAGTTTTTACTTTCAGAATGTGCTATGGACAATCTTGGTGAATGAAGACTGTCTGTTCACGTCAGTCATTTAGATCACATTCTCATTATAAAAACGAAAGATTAGAAAGGAAACATACTGCAAAAGAAGCGCTGTTTGATAAGTCGACAAATGTCATGCAGAAGCGACTGTCGAAGAAGTTTTTTTTTCTTTTCGATGAAAGAAAGATAGTGAATGTTGCACTACTTACTGATTAAAATAAGATTTCATTCCGATGAATACTAATAAACTCGTTTTCGTTCCTTCCCTCACACATAAGTGGGATGTTTCGGAGTTAGTTGCATACTTAGCACATTTGCAGGGGTGTGGCGGAAGGCGACAAAACCCAACTTTTGTGCCTTCCAAAACTCTTCGGTGCCAAAGTGACACCGCGCCAAGGTAGGGTGGAGGGTGAGGGTAGGGGCAGATACATGACTGATGCCACAGGCATAATTCTAGAATCCTAAAAAAATCAGCGAGAGCGACTTTACACTGCTTACACTTTGCGCGCACTGTCGCCTCAAACGTGCCCTCCCCCCTTCCCATATGCAGTAGGAAAAGAGCTGCATTTGTAGCTGCTTACTATGAATGTAGCATTTTGCACACTTGAATGCGCGACAAAAAAGCAGCTTATCATTTTCAAATCGAACAGAGGTCAAAAATATTAAATTTGGCCAACTCACTATCTGCTCATACACCACGGCACATCTACCGTTTTCTGACCCACCAGTAGATCAAATTCAACAACAAACTAATTTGAAGCACCTCTTGCTTTTTTCAGTAGTTATATTTTCAAAAAACAGCAATCCCCTCCAGATAACCGTTAAAATTTTTGAAGCTCATGTTTACCTTGCTTGAACTGATAAAATTGTCAAGATTTCCATTTTTGATGAAGTAAACAAAAGTGCAAATTTTTTGTCCATAGTGCTTCTTCTAGGCTCTAATTTGTATACTTTTATATTTTAGAGTTCAAATTTCAGAAGCGATCGTCAGAACATGTCGATAAATTCAGATATTACTCGATGCATCGATTTATTATCTCTCTGATTTGTATTTATGCAAGTAAAAGAGTAAAGAGCAGACAGCGCTTCACCAATTTCCCATCAAAAGCCAATTAAACTTTTTACTCAACATTTCAGCTCATTTTGTGATCTCAGCACTGATTCCCAAAAAAGAAAAATATGAGCGCCAAGTTTACGAGATGGATACCGCGAAATTGCGGAGATTTTGGCACACTGGTACAATACGCGGTGTCATCCAGGTACGTCATGAGAATTTTGAGACACATTGCCATTTTCTGACACAATTCTAGGCATACACGAAATCTATGCTCACGGATCTTCCACACGTCGAGAAGGTCGTTTATGATATATGTATGGGAGACGCCAAGAGCATAGTTGATCTAGCCAAATGTTCCGTTAGAGTGTTCAACACACGAGATGCTCTAAAACGCTCACCGCCAATAACAAGCTATACTTCAACGACTACTTCAACTTCTACGACTTCTACGACATCAACAACTACTAGTGTAAAAACTTTTCCAACATCTTCGCTTTCCCGCCCAAATAGTCTCTCCAAAAAGTGGGTGAGCAAGCCCGGCTCATCCAGTAAACAGAAGGAAGCAAAGGCGCACACATCTTCCGTCTGGATTCTGGGTGAAGACGTGCCGAAAAAACGCGAGAACAGAACTAGAACCAAAATTAGAACGAAGAAAAAAGGACCCATTCTGACATCTGCTACGCCATCAAGCACTCTCAGACTGCACCCGTCCAAAAAACGAGTAGACAAAACTAGATTGTCGATCGAACTGGAGAAAGCTGATCTTTCGGGAGTCTCCCACAGAGATAGGAAAAGGGCACATTTTTTACAAGTGCAAAATGGGATAATGCGAACAAAGAGAAGCATTAGACGGAGAGGTGTTGATGGAACGTCAGAAGGCACGCACATGACACCCAGAACTGATGATGGCGACACCTTTTCTGTTTTTCACGGTAAGAATTTGCATCATATCAACAACTAAGGAAACATACGCAAATTCTGGTTGATTTCATCACATATAGAAAATTAGTGTACCCCGGCAGATCCCAAAAATTCAAATCTTTGCCAAGTTTGCAAGATTCTGAAAGTGATCAGTTGTTTGAAAGCAGGAAAGGAGGGGAGCTTTTATGGGAGTGGTTGCAGCTACGCACTGGAATACTGAGCCTCGAGTTGAATATATTTGCACGAGTTTTTTGATTTCTACTCGCTCAATATGCGATCTGTACTTAACACCATGTAAATAGGTGTAGGACACTTCAAAAGCTTCCAGATTTCTCTGCAGCAAATGCCACGGCAAATCTATCGCAGAAACAGATGGGAAACGAAACAAAACAGGCTGGTAGGATAGACTGCTTAATCAAGCATTCAGATATTAGGACGCTCAAATTTCAGAACCGGGCTCGTACATGAGCAAACTACATTTAATTCGTGAGCATTTTCGCAGAGTAAAAGAATGTGACGACTTTTTCAAAGATTTGAACGAACGGAATAAACAGTGAGTGTATCGGGGAATATTGTAGAGTAGTAAGCAAGCATTGGACTTGTTGATCTACAGCGATTTTCTTCCTGGAAACTTCGCCACTATCGAGTCTTACTTTCTTTCCAGATTTTTCGAACAGCTCAACCTCGGCTTTGATAGTGACGCACCGATTATTGAGAAGCAGAAGATCTCAGTATTGGATGAAGTGATTCAGACAATAAACGCGTTTGAAGTACGTTTGCTGGCCTTCAATAGTTTATTTACTCATTGGAAACAAGAAATTCATTTGTGGCAAATGAAGGGTTTCCTAGGTAGAGCAGAAGAAAATATTTGACTGAGAAACTGACTGTCTTTGTTCTCCAAGACAAGTTTTTTGAGTTTTCTCTAGCTTTTATCGTGCAAAAACACCGAAAAAATGTTATTCTTGGGACGATTTTAACCTTTAGTCCATGTTTACCCTATCACAGTCGCTATATACGAAAGCTGAAAGAACCTGAAAAGCAACATCTCATCTTAGGCACGCGCCATACTTGATCCACTTGATCCGCTTGATCCACTTCATCCATCGCTATGGGTCATTGACCAATAGCGAAGTGTGAAGTGGATCAAGCGGATCAAGTAAATTGAGTATGGCGCGTGCCTTATGCGTTACTCAAGCAATTATAGGGCCAATCATCTGACAAATTATCCTTCTTTTCACCACGTGTACTTTCACTACTTCCCGAAGCAGCTATCCCAAATCACGCGAAAATCATGTCGCCAACGCTGTTCAGTTTCCAGAAAGAGGGCATTTTGTCGGTACCGGATCTTTTCAAAGTAAGTTTTGTGCAGGAAAGCTTGCTGTTTTACAAGATCAGTGACAGGTGGCAGCGATCAATAAAGAAGAGCAAAACAGTCTACTGGAAATGATCATGGATATTAGTGGTGCAGGAAAGGCTCTTGAGGTGGGTATTTTAGCCAGATGGCATCAGATCGGAACAGAGTACGGTTGCAGAGAGTGTTCACAGGACTAAAACCAGAAATGGATGAGATAAAAAATGTCAAATATCCCATAGTCCAAAAACTCATGAAACACGACGAAAGATGGAAGCGGTATGCTGTTTCGAAAGAGTTGATAAAATGTATCCGCCAATATTAGCGGTTATTTCTAACACTTTCATTGACCATCTCTTGGTTTCATTTCATCTAATCATCTACCAACAGTACAAAACTATTCAAAGCACCAGTCATTTGCGAGAAGTCTTATTATTGAAGCTCATAAAACTTCGTAAATCCATCAAGCTTGTTTATATTGTTGAAAATCGTCTTGAGTTTCAGTTCACGAGCCAGCTTCACAGAAGAACAAAACAAAGATTTCGATGAAAAAGGATTCGCCTTTTTGGATGAAGAACAGTTGAACCTGATTTACGAACCAGAAGGTAATCCCAGCTATTTTGTCACATCTACTCTAGATATGCTTCCACTATATTACAAATAGCACACCTCGATGAATCATTCTTCATCACAGAATTGATGCCCACATGGCACGGGTGGGGGGGGGGGGGGATTTTGAGGCGAAATTTTTCAGAGCAGTCTGGCTGAAAATTCTGCAAGTGACTCTGTTTTTTACTAGAAACCGTCCCAAAAACGGTCACTAAAACTATTCCTTATACAAGAAAATTACATATAGACGAAGGTTAACCCTCCCGCATGTAACGAGAAAAATTTCCAGATCAGCTTCGCTATAAACTCAATACCACTATGCTTGGACGATTAACAAAGGAGGAAAAGATGGCAAGGTTAGAGAAGGACATCCGGGCAGTAGCAGCGGTCGATCGACCTCAAGGACCAAGCTGGGGATCAGGTAGCTATTAGGTTGTCCCGAAAGTTTTGTCGGTTTTTTTCATCGCTCACCAAACCTCACAGAACACCATTCCATGAACGGCCTAGGAGTCATTCTATTCACATTTTTATCTTCTTTCCTACAGCTATATTTGTTCCCTGATCTACCCCGGCTTTGCGAAGTTACCGCCATGGCTTTTTGAGCACCTCAGCAGCAGGGCTCGGCACAAGCTGGCACCAGGGAAATTTCAAAACGAAGTCCCGTTTGATATTGAAAATTTCGTACGAAGTCCCTTTTGACCTGTTTTAAAAACCCATCTTATTTTATATTATGTAAAAAATGTAGTAGTGTTTTCATGCATTTCTGATCTCATGAAAGAACTTTTCACAGCTTTCTGAGCTTTTTAAGTGGACGAATCACATCTTGAGATGCAGAAAAAGCCGATTTTTCGACGGCGGAGCGGACCGAGTTTTTTCAAATTGCTATAAAACGCTGAAAAGAGAACATTATGAAATGTATGTAAACTTTTACAGTGTAGATACATTTTATGTAAAAAAGTATGAAAACTTATGTGAGCAAAGTGTCGGTGCCAGCACAGCTGGCACCCAGCTGGTACGAAGCCAGCTAATTCAGAAAAAAGTTCGGCACAGCTTTCATTCACAGAAGTTTTCATAAATTTTTGGCCCGTAGTTCCGGTCCACCAACGCGTATGCACACACCAAATTTGGTGTCATACTATTGCGTTTTGGCTGAAAACAACGCCTTTGTTTGTTGATGGACAGCTTGCCAATGGCATGCCGGCGGCATTTTTGCGGCAGTTCTCCGCCTCGGCCCCTGTAGAAACGATATCCCCTTTGCTTTCCGCGCTAAAAACGATATCCAGCTTGACCCGGTGCCAGCAGTGCTGAGCACTGCTCAGCAGTAACGCCAAATCTTTCCTGAATTTTCAAAATTTTTATCTTGATATTTTCGACGGCTGGTGACTGTTATGTAGGGCTAACCTTTGGCTACATTGTGGCTGTTTTAAATTACGTGGGCCACGTTTATCAAGTCCGTAATAATTATTTATTTGAGAAAAACGGCGGCTTTTTGAACACGTTTTACCACGTAAAATTACCGAAAATTCCAGAAAGCTGATTTTTGAAGCAAATCAAACTTGGTTATGTTGCATAAATGATGCTCAATAACAACCAAGTTTGAATTCGCAAAAACTTCAAAAGTTTCCATGCTTTTGCTGCAATTGCGCGTTTCATGACTTAGCCAAAAATCGAGACTTCAGAAGAAATAATTTTTTGAAGTCAAAATCAGCAAATTAGGGAAATCTAAAAATACTGCTTTGTAGCCCGAGAGTTGCTCTATTAAATCCATACTTAATCTTTTTCAAAAGTTTGTAACGAAATTTCAAAAATTAGCTCAACTTTAAGCAGGTAAAATTGACAGGTGGAGAAGTTCGGCAGTTACCAAAGAAAGCATATAACATTATGGTTAAAAGTGTATCCATAAGAAAGAGAAGAAAAAGCTGCATCGATGCACTTTGAAACTCACTCAAGTCTTTATTGTGCGTGGTTTTACAGTGGTCTGAAAAAACCGACAAAACTTTCGGGACAACCTAATATTTAGAAAATCCTAGTGCCCGTATTTTTTGAACGATACGAGATTTAGCACGTGTTCGACGACAAGCAGATGACAATCCCATAGATTGGGTGACATTAGCGCCAAGAGCTTTCGCAGTGGACGTACTCGGTGGCTCAGCTTTGGACATTGTCACGCTGTCACCTCGAGCTTTCATAGTGGAAGTTTTGTGGCCTGCAGCTCTCATAGTAAATTCGATCTATCAATAACACAGTTTGACCACGGACATTCGTCATTTCAGCAAGAAACCCTTTCGCCGCGAGCGTTCTTCGTGTCAGTACTATGCCCAAACGCCCTTATCGCAAGGATTTTGTCGCCGACTGCTTTCCGTGTCGAAGTGCTTGACCCGCGAGCACTGGTGGCATGGGTTCTTAGTCCTCAGGCATTTGTAAGTGTTATATAGATTCTATCGTTCCTAATATCAGCCCAAAGATAAATATAGTTAAAGGTAAATCAACTATATGCTGGGTATCAACCGCAACCATAGATTTGTATTCGGATCATGTAGTGTGAAAGTTCTCGAAAGAGGGGAAGAGTAGGGAAATTTCTTGAGCTTTTTGATGGAGGGCACAAGAAAATGGAAAACATGGAATGGCTGCTGACTATACCGTGCTGGCACGAATGCGATTTTGCAGGCACACCAGATAAGGTGGAGAGTTAACGCGAAGATCGGGGAGAATTTTCTAACAAATGCGCATTTTTAGCAAATTGATAAAGTTTCTGCAAAGAAAATCAAAAGAAGTGAAAATAAGGGTCTGGGGCAACATCTGGCTAAGGTCCTGCAGTGACTAGGTGTAAGCGAAAGATTTTTGGTTAGAGAACTTTGGTGAGAAAAAGACAAACCGGACCAAATTAGAAAACTACGTAGGAGTGTTAGCATTCATTTAGATTTCAGAAACTTTCAAGGGAGTCAGGAAAGTGGCAATTGCAAGCGCTGATCAACAACATCGTGTTCCAAAGTTTGGAGGAGTGACCGTATTTAGAGTTAATCGCTTAAAGCTTGAGAAAAAGAAAACGCGGCAATTGTATGTAAGACAATGTTAGCTCTTCTGCCAAAAAAAAAACATATTTGGATCGATCAATAAAGAAAATAGCTTATATGGCTAATTTCACCCGCTTTGCAGCGAAGTGATTACAGGGCTTTTCAACATAAGAGTCACAGCCTCCGCTTGCGCGACTCCTCCAACGCGGCCGCCTCGCTCAAGCCGCACGCGGCGTTTGCGGCGTATCGCCCGGGCTTTTGCCAAGCTTCAGTCGACGCGCAGCCAGCGCCACGAACGCTGCGCGAACCTAAGCGTGGCGGCCGAGCGGGGCGGCTGTGACACCCAGGTTGTAAAGCCCTGTAGGTATGCGAGCAATTCTGCCCGGATCGATAGATCAGTCGTGACCTACCAATATTTCTTTTGTTACATTGATTGTCATAATAAAATTATAAAATTTAGTAACTTTTGTTTTCACGTCAAAACTACCATTTCTTTCCATTAGACGTTCTCTCCATACTCAACGGGAAATAGTTTTTTTTAGCTTGTTCAAATACTTACTCCAAACGCCTTGAATCCCCACGTGCTAAATCCAGATGCTTTCCTCGTAAACGTGCTCAGTCCATGTGAGTGCTTTTCTATCATTATTTGATTATTACCTAATAGACTGCTTTCAGCGCTGATTTCGCCTGGAGTCGCATCACCAATAGCGTTAGAAGTTTTCGTTTTGAGTCCTTCGGTGTTGTCGCCTCGTGTACTAAGTGATGAAAGATTAATTGTCGAGGTAAGTTGCTGTGAATATCTACCAAAATTCAGTCCATATCATGTAGGTCTTTTCGCCTCACATTTTGGGTGGAGAACACGTAGAATCAGAGGCTCACCAGTACGTATCGGAGCTTGGAGGATTCGGAGGAGCTCATAGTCCTCACTATCACGGAGGTCAATTTGTGCAAGATTAGCTCAACTTATAGATTTCTCTTAATAATCTTCCGATCTTGGGAGTCCATCCTATATTACAGTATCATCATTGCTTTTATTAAGTGAGTTTATTCTTCTTGTTTCAAAGGTATTCAATGTGTACATCAATAAAAGGCTTTAGCCAGAATGACGAAGTTCTGTGATGAAAACTTTTCACTTTGATTACAACAACCAGTCGCAAGTGAATATAACGTAAGAAAATTGCGTCAACTGTCTTACAGACTTACAAGATATGATTTCAACAACGATTTGATTCCTTTGAATCATGCATTCGCTTCGCTTGCTCACGGCGGCGTTGCAGGATCCTCCAAAAGCCCGCCGCTTCTTCTCCAGGCGCGCCTTTGGGAGGCAATAATCGCTTCGCGCCTACCTCGCGCTTGTGTCGCACTTGTCTCGCACATTTCTGCGATAGTTCCCCTCTGGACAATCGCCTTGTTTCCCCTAGCAATAATTAAAGTCACTGCTTGAACAATGATTTTTCAATGATAACAAGTAAAAGAAAAAGCTGTGGGAACTAACAATAATAAAAGTAGACTGATTGTCTCTTGCCAAGAAAGTCAGTCAGTCGAAGTGACAGTTTGGAAGTTGAAGCATACCATGACATGGCATTTGGGGGAAACCAATTAAAAGAAATTTTTGTCAACAATTTTGCTCTGATTCTGGTCCTGCTGAATTGCATACCTATTTAAAGCATCGGTTCCCGTAAGGAGTACAGCCCCAAAACTGCTAAAAAATGATGTACAACGTTTCTTTGAAGTTGTATATTTCCACTGATATGCCCATGACTTGGTTCCGCTGGTGAGAGCTTCTTTTTTATCCACCATATCTTAATAGCCACAGTAGAATGTATTTGCCTGTCAGTCAGCTTAATTCTCATATTTTCTTTCGTTTGTTAGTGATAAACGTTGATCCTTTCCGCTACAAAAACAACCACCTTTCTAATTTACCTCGACTAAGGTGACCGAATGTTTCACATTCATTGGTTAATTACTGAAACTTTCACATCTTCATCTTTTGTTATGATTGAGAAATCCTCGTTCAGGCAGTGAACTTTCCAATTAATGCTAGGGGAAACAAGGCGATTGTCTGGAGGGGAACTATCGCAGAAATGTGCGAGACAAGTGCGACACAAGCGCGAGGTAGGCGCGAAGCGATTATTGCCTCCCAAGGGCGCGCCTGGAGAAGAAGCGGCGGGCCTTTGGAGGATCCTGCACGTCCTCCCTTGCTCACAGCGCTCTTCTACCGATTAGCACCTACGACAGAGCTCGCCAAATGTGCTTCTGTTTTTGAGCACGAGGCTTTTACAAAGGTTTGAAGTCTCCTCTCGACGAGAAAAACTTACTCTTATCAAATTCAACCATCAAGAATTGACCATGGAGCATCTTGATGACCGGATGGATTTGAGCAGCGATTGGCTAGCAAATTTGAACGTCGTCGGTGAAAAAAAGCTCAGATGGGCTGAGAGCTTTATATGTTAACGTTGAAAACATGGGAGCATTCGCTATACTACATTTGGTTCGCAACCAATCCAGATTTGTAAAAATCAAAGTTGAATACGAATTCCTCCCTGTAAAGATTCGATTTTGACCAGCAAGCGATCCATACCATTCTTATTTAGGCGAACCCCCAAAACATGTTAATGACTCAATTTAGTTCATGCCAAACGAATCCGATTGATTTAAAAACGGATACAAAAGAGCTTGCATGATGACGCAAACTTTTTTGCATACATATAGCCCATCAAGATGAGCTATCAGCGAAGAAGTTAGAAACTATGCAAGGGAAGGATTTATTAATGTTGTTTATTAGGTTGTTAACTAAGTTTTGCAACTACCTTCATAAACTGCCTCTCTTTGTATATGACGCACTCAAATTTTTCCATCATGTAGACCGTGACGTGGGCTACAAGCGCAATCACAGTTCCGCAAAATTCTGACGTCGCAGTGAGAGGTAGGTCTAATATTTGGGGGAATTTGGCTGAAACTTAGCTTAGGTGGGTTATGACATGACATGACATGCTGATCGCGAAAAGATGTTGGTTTCGCATAGTAGGGGCTCCTTTGCAAGGTTACGGTAGGTTTACGGTATTGGTTAATGCTAAACAAGAAAGCAGGCGTTAACTTGATGCATGATTATGATATTCGTGTTCGTCAGGGCAAATAACCCACCACGCAGATTTTGGCGAATTCCGAGACTTTGAATTCTTCGTAATTGACGCTTATCCTCAAGTACCTTTGAGTACAACGTCTCGTTCAACTTTATGAGGGGGCCAATCCTTGAGTTGTCTTGAATTCCATTTCTTCCTTACTGTGCTAAATGAGTCAGCCTCTAGCAACAATCTGTACATATTGGATTGCTGTGCATGATTTAGCTTAGGAACGGCTTCATTTTCATTCAAACTCCAAGAATCCTCGAATACCACCAGTTTTCTAATTTCCGATTTTTTTCAAACTTTCATCATCAGAAAGAGAGCGGTTATGGATATTATATACAGGGTGTCCCAAAAGTATGTATGCACTGTTTGATCGTTAATATCTCTCTTCCCAAGAAGTCTTTTGCCTTGCTTCAAGTACCGTTTTGTAGAGCTGGCTTCAACTTAGATTTGCAGTATAGAAAGAATCACCCATCTCTCTTCATTACTGTAGGATTACGGTAGAAACTTGAAACATATGGTGTAATATGGAAAAAGCTGCCGTTTCAAAATTTTTCCAAAAAATGTGAAAACTTGTATAATAGGGTTTTTATGGATGCTAAGTTCAATACTCAACTATTCACAAGATTGCGAAGCTTTCTAAACGGTCTAATCGCATTTTTTAGGAACATTGAAAAAATGGCCGCTACCTCTTACCCAGCATAACTCTTCAATGAAGCATCATAAAAAGTTGGAAACTTTACAGTTAGAATCAGCAACTCTAAGTAGCCTAGTGTAAAAGATTTCAGGCTGTTTTGTTTCCTTTCTGAGACAAAATATGGCCTTTCATGGCTCAAAATCCTTTTGAAGTTTCTACCGTAATCCTACAATAATCAAGAGAGATGGGTGATATGTTCATTACTGCAAATCTAAGTTGAAGCAAGCTCTACAAAACTGTACGTGAAGCATCTCGAAACACTTCATTACAAGAGAGCAGTGGCGGTCCGAGAAATTTTTTTCGGGGGGGGCGCGACAAAAATTTTTTTCTAAAGAAGGTGCGTGGCGTCAGCCACGCACTCCGAAAAATTTTTTGGGGTGCTTCTCAAAATTTTTGCGGGTCCCCGACCCCTAAAATCTGGAAAAAGGGGGCGTGGCGTCAGCCACGCCCCCGAAAAAAAATTTTTTATAAGGCTAAAATGAATTTTTAAAAAATTTTAAAAATTATTTTAATTATTTTCAAGTGCAAACAAGTCGTTTGCACATTTTTACAACCCATATAGGTAAGTTTCAAAAATTTCGCGACCCATTCTCGGGGGGGGCGCGCGCCCCCCCCGCCCCCCCCCCTCGGTCCGCCACTGCAAGAGAGTTATTTACAATCAAACAGTGCATACATACTTTTGGGACACCCTGTAGACTGCCGTTTGAGCTATCAACTGTGCCAGTTGATAGCTCACACGACAGTCTATATAATATCCAAGTTTGAGCCCGCCAATATCGAAAGCGAAAAGTTACGGACTCAATCGCAAAACTTAGTTAACAGCCTAATATTTCGAGTGACTTCCGCACCATTTCCGATGGCGCGAGTTAAGGACAGAAAGTATGACCAAGCACATACTACATTACTACAGTTATCCACTTTTTCAAGACCTGGCTTTAAAAAACTGCATCACACAACTTAAAGGCAGTATCCGGGTCAAACTCGATTTCAAGAAAATGTACTTACCGGGGGTTATCCGCAACGCTGAATCCGAAAATAAACATTAGATGGCGCGAAAACGGCGAGAACATGCGTCTTCCAAAGCCTTACAATTTGAAATTCGACGGTCTCCGCTAAGGCTGAGACGCAGAGTCCCTGCGGGATCCCATGTTTGACTGTGGTGGCATGCACACTCTGCCGCATAGCAGGAATTTGGAAGGTCGGAGGACCCCGCCACAAGGCGTAAGTTTCCCCACTTTCCGGTCGTTTTTCTTGCTTTAGTTCGAGCGTTATGATGTCGCACTTGCGAGATGTTGTGTCTGACAAGGGTAGTTCGCTGAATCGAAGTGGCCAATTGATATGTGGTGTATACCCGGGCTCGGGGCTCGGGAGTATAGCATAAAATGTGTGCCCATTAGGTGCGACGCATTATTGCGAAGCAAGTTATGGCCATCTGAAGTTTTTGGCATGTGCATGTCTAGCGAACGCATAAATGCTCCGATCGCGGTCGTGTGGTGTAGTGGAGTGTCTCGGATTCACAGGTGACCGGGAGGGTTCAAATTCTGTTGCTGTCCACGTTTTATGCGTTCTTCTTAACATGCATTGATGAGGTAAAAAATGACACACACGGGTTACGGAATGATTTTTCTCACGAATATTCGACCAATGTTTTATATGTAGAATTTTCGGGCAAACTTCTTTCGGGAATTAAATTTGCTTACAAATAACCAACTATGGCATATGGAGGGAGCATATTTTTAAGCTATGACAAAATGGTTGAAGCGCAGGTATTTCTCGCAATCTCCAAGTTGTATCACGCTGTACTATTTATTCTTGCTAATGGGTTACTTGTGAGAATGACACGGCAAGATGTATAATTAGTAGATAACCAGCCGTATGTGTCATTTTTTACTTCAGTAGTATATAGAACAGGTGAAAAATGAAATTTGGGAACGCAGAAAACGTGAACAGCAACAGGATTCGATCCCTCACCAGTCAACTGTGAATCCGAGACCTAACCACTACACCACACCCCCGAGCGGAGCATTTACGCGTTCGCTAGACACGCACACGCCAAAAACTTCAGAAGGCCATAACCTGCTTCACAATAACGCGTCGCACCCTAATGGGCACACGCTCAATACTAACCTCCCGAGCCCGGGTATATACCACATATCAATCGGCCAATTCGATTCAGCGAACTACCTTGTGAGGGCGACCACTCTCAGACAATCGCCGGGGGCAGGCGGTCCGCAAACCCGCGGTTTTCTGCA